TGACTGTTCAGTGTTGAACGCCTCCTCATAAGGTGGTTTAGCTAGAATTTGCCGCGCTTGGTGGCGGGATTTTTTTTTTAATAGGTGTGAACCTATATATGCATAGGTGGAATTGTAACCGCACCCGCGCGGGGGAAAAGGGGTAGCAATGAAGTTTAACAGCCCCCATTGCCAGCGATATGCCCTATCAGGTCAACCTCCACGTGGTTCCTGGAAACCATCGTGAACAATTCTTGTGGAATTCGTCACGATGGGCTAACTGACCTGCTTTATCTTCATCTATCATCCTTCACTGGTGCCCCGCCGGTGTATACCGATAGCGCAGGCGGGGTTACCATTCCATTATCATCCATTAAAAATATGTTTGTTTAGTTTACAGTGTCTAGTGTCAAGTAGTGAGTAACCAAATTTCCAGAGCAGACAATACTTAATTTATATAAATAAAAAATAATTCCAGAGGGACACTTTGTACAAAAGTCGATTGCTTGGGTACCTCTGTCCCATTCGTGTTTCAACCGTGAAGCAGCTGTGTTTGCATGGCTGTGTTTCGATTGGAAGGGTGGGATATGGCGTGAATTTACGGGGTACAGAGGAATAACACCTGAGTCCTCAGGAATGGCAACGCATGAGGGGTATAATGGGCGAAACAGTATACTCTGTTATGTCCATGGTACTGCTCATCTCTATAGGCGACGGTTACCACTTTCCATCAGGTCACATTTCTATTCTAAGTTGTATAAAAAAAAAGTATGAAAATGTAATGGTAACCTCGTCTCTGCTGTTGGTTTCCATAAGCGGGACATTCATATGCGATGACGGATGAGAGTGACAACAGGTCGACTGACTAGTCGATCATAAGTAATTCACCAAGAAATAACTAATGTGGTTTTCGGGGCGGAGACGGGGGGGGGGGGCATGTGGAGATCGTTATAATGCAGTCTATTAATAGCGAAATATGAATAGATAAATAGGGATTATTAGTATTGCGGACTACCAGTCCCATTGCTAGCAATATACCCTGTCAGGTCGACCTCCACGTGGTCCCCTCTGAATTCCATGTTTAATTATCAGACCTGTCTTTCTATTCTCACCCATCATCCCTCACTGGTGCCCCGCCAGCGTATACCGTTAGCGCAGGTGGGGTTACCATTCTATTATCATCCATTAAAAAAAAATTTATGTCTAGGCGTTTTGAAAATAGTCTAAGTTGTCGAATTACTGCGGCACAGGTAAACACAAGTGTAAGCAGCCACTGCCGACCCACATAGTGGCTGATCGGCGTTTATCACTGTTGATAAACTTTACTGCTGGCCCTTACGGATAAGGTATGCCGTGAAATCGGCGCGCGCGCATTAATTACTACCACTGCACCACGGTGCAGCGAAGTGATTGCTTTTTTATGCATCTTAGAGTACCAAACGAGCTGACAGCCCACCTGATGGAAAGTGGTAACCGTCGCCTATAGACATGAGCGGTGCCATGGACATAACAGAGTATACTGTGTCACCCATGATACCTTCATACGTTGCCATTCCTGAGGATTAAGGTATAATACCTTTCTCCTCTGTCTTCTGTAATTCCATTAGTATATCCTTTAAATCGAAATATAGCCATGCAAACAATTGCTTCATAGTACAAATACGAATGGGACAGAAGTACCCAAGCAGACGACTTTTGTACAAGGTCCCACTCTGGTAAATATAATATAATATCTAAAATAATTCCCGTCAGCCTTTAACTGCCCGCTGCTGAACGTAGGCCTCACCTATAAGGGAGGTTTTGCCAGTAGTTGCCTCGTTTGACAGGCGAGTTGGCAACTGTAGTAAGGCTTTGGTAATGTTTTAAGAAGGACGCTGCTGCCCATCCTTCAACTATTAATTTCCTTTACTCCTAGTATAATAGCAGTATACCCAACCAGGTCGACCTCCTCGCGGTTCCCCCTGGAAACTATCATGGTTAATTCCTGATGAATTCATCATGATGGGCTAACTGGCCTGTTTTCATTTTCATCTGTCACCCTTCACTGGTGCTTAGCCGCCAGCGTATCCCGTTAGCGCAGGCGGGGTTACCATAACATTTTCACCCATTGAAAAAAAAATGCATACCAAACAATGTTATATTAAAAATGTTTTGAAAACAAAATGAAAAATCGTGTATTTATAAGCAGTTCCTTTCCATCAGGTGGTAACCATCGCCTACAGACATGAGCAGTACCATAAACATAACAAAGAATACTGTTTCGTCCATGCGTTGCCATTCTTGAGAACCTTGATACCTGCTGCTGATTTTCACCATCGTACTACCCGCCATAAACTAAAGTTTCATCCCAACCATCTGGAAGAGCGGCGGTCTTCTACCATGCGCTTTTCAAATCACTTTCTTCCGCGCACAACCACTCTTTGGAATTAATTTCCAGCAGCAGTATTTCCGAACCGATATGACAACATAACCTTCAAGAAAAGAGCATATTTCTTTTTAAAAGGCCGGCAGCACACCTGCAATGCCGTTGGTGTTGTGGGTGATCATGGGTGGCGGTAGTCACTTACCATCAGGTGAGCCGTATGCTCGTTTATTCCGTGTTGTAAAAAAAAAAGAACTCAGGCATTAATCTTCTGTACCCTGTAAATTCACTGCCATATCTCACCTTTTAAACCGAAACATAGCTATGCAAACAACTGTTTCATGGTAAAAACACGAATGGGAGAGAGGTGTCTTAGCAAAAAACTTTTGTACAAATTCAAATTCAAATTCAAAAATCATTTATTCATGTAGGACATTTTAGCCGCTTATGAACGTCAAATTTTTACATTATAATTTTATATTTTCCCTACCGTCCAGTTCGGTATATAGATCCAATTGAGAAGAAATTGAATTACTTTTTTTTTAAAGCCAGTTTATTTACAATGTATATTTATATAGGTGTCTATGTCTAACATTAAATGAAAATTCAGTGCATGAACAACTATTGCCATGCACACTCGTCATTCAAGTAATCGTTTAGTGAGTAATAGGCTTTGCTCAGTAAATATGATTTAACAGATGTTTTGAATTTATTTAAGGGTAATTCCAACATATCCTTTGGTATCTTATTGTAAATTTTTATACCTATTCCCATAAAAGACCTATTAACTTTTTCTAAACGATACTTGGGGACAAAAAATCTAGTATTAATATTATGAATATTGCTGTTTTTTGGAAATAAGTCAAGATTTTTATGAACATATAGAATATTTGAATATATAAATTGAGAAGCAACGGTGAGAATATTTGCCTCTTTGAATTTCTCTATTAATGAGTCAAGACTATTCATACAGTAGATCGATCGAACTGCACGTTTTTGTAATAAGAATATATTCTTAATATCTGCCGCTTTTCCCCATAGTAATATTCCATAAGAGAGTAAACTATGAAAATAACTAAAATAGACTAATCTAGCAGTATCAGTATCAGTGTACTGTCTAACTTTACGCACGGCAAAAGCTGCTGAACTTAGTTTCGCTGCAAGGCTTTGAATTTGTGCACCCCATTGTGTTTTATTATCTAGTGTGATTCCTAGAAAGACAGTAGATTCTATAAATTCGAGATATTCGTCATTTAATTTAATATTGCAATTAGTATTAAAACTTTTAGATAGAGAGAAATTAACACATTTTGTTTTTTTAGCGTTTAACATAAGATTGTTAGTTGTAAACCAGTGCAGGAGACGCCGCAAAGCACTATTTACATCGTCATAATTATTAGTCATTCTATTAACTTTAAAAATCAATGAAGTATCGTCTGCAAACAATACTATGCCGCATCTATCCTGCATGGCATATGAGATCATTAATGTAAACTAGGAATAAAAATGGACCGAGAATAGATCCTTGAGGTACACCCATTTGCACAAGTGACCCGTCAGATGTAGCGTTGCTAATCTTCACTTTCTGTATTCTATCAGATAGATAAGATTTTATTAAATTTAAAGCATTGTCTTTGACGCCATAAAAAGCAAGTTTTTTTTTAGCAATGTATTATGATCAACGCAATCAAAAGCCTTAGAAAGGTCACAAAAAACACCTATCACATCCATTTTAGTTTCCCATGCAGCAAATACGTGTCTAAGCAACTCTGCACCTGCGTCTGTAGTTGAACGACCTTTGGAAAAACCGAATTGACTATTGTGGATTAAATTATTTAAATTGAAATAACTGACAAGTTGCATAAGGATTATTTTTTCAAAAATTTTACTGAGTGCTGGGAGTATGGATATAGGTCTATAATTTATTGGGTCACTCCTATCTCCAGATTTAAAAAGCGGTATGATTTTACTAATTTTCATTATGTTAGGTACAAAGTCTTCCTCTGGTGTATTTAGAATATAGCAAATATATAATTTATTACTTGTTCTAGTACAAGATTTCTAACATTTAAAATTATTTTTTGATTTGCGCCTGATATTTTGGTAAAGCAAAGTGTTGCAAAAATGTAAAACTATTTTGTCAGGCGTTATAGTACAAGAGACTAATATGAATCGGCCGCATTGTGCTTTGTTTAATATTATTGAGGCAAATGTATAAAAGAGTTTGCAAAGAAAGTAATTATAAATAGACATTACTATTTTTTAATTATATATATTTAACTTTAAAGTTAACTTGTAGATATGTATAACAATAATAGTGTAGTGCTTACTACCCATCGATTGTTATCGATATTTTTTGTATTGATTTTTCAAACTAAATGTTTAATTTTATAAATTAAATAGATGTAATTCTTAGTAATTGTTAATATGTACGTAATAATGTTTAAATAAAAAAAACCGTACTAAACACATTTTAGTTTCTATTACGAACTCTTTGTTATAATATTATTTAAATAAGGCACAACAATTTGTTATATGTATATGTAGATTAAGTTCTGGCCATTATTCATGTATTGATAAAATATAGAGGTCAGGTCAGTCAGTTGTGCATTACAGAGTGACCATTGACCATTCGAACCGAAGCACCGACCGACGCTATCAATGCCCAACTCGAACAGAGCGAATGACAGAAATCTCAAACGGGAATACCGGATACCGTCGAGCGCTTGACAAACTCTCCACATCTCTTTCCTCGCAATAGTCACTGGTGCGAATATCTCTCATTCTATCCTTCTCGCTCCACAGTGTGGCAGTGGCAACGTTTGCTCACTGTAACTATAGGTGTAGTGTAGAGCTACACACACAGTGGTGGTGTTCATCCACTTTTGTGTTGTACTGTAGTTTTGCCAAGTTGGAGTCGTTCGGAATTAGACTCGCTACATGTGTTTTGTAGTGCGGGAAATGTCAAAGTGCTGTGAACGGTGCCGATTTTGAGTGGTCGCGAAGTGGTCGCAAGTGATTTCTTTTTGTTTAACAGGGGAAAATGCACCGCCCCCCGGCGGAGCGGCGGCGGCGCGCGAACTCAGCATTTTTTAGATTCCGATAGACTTCGAAAGTTGTTCGTACTTATTTGAAATTTTATACAATTTGTGTTTTGTGTTAATAATACTGAAGGAAAGTGATATTTGAAAGTGGCATCGGGTGAAAATGAGAAATATCCGTTTATGTTTGTTCGACGTGAGTATTTTATGGGCTATTAAAATATTTTACTCCGATTCCATTATTTCACAACGTTTCAATAAATCATAATATTATTTTCCTTGTATGATTTGTTTACTATCCACTGGGTACGCTTGCTGTGTTGATTCTTGGAAATCGTGTTATAGCCTGGCTGGCTAAATATTAAAATAATTTAATAATAATTTGGAAAAATGTTTGCACACAGTTTTTTTTTTGCAGTCGAACAAAGATCTGGCATGGGCCCAGCCAGATCTCGTCATTGAACATGCCATTTGATTACGTTTAAATTTTTTAATCTCCGCCAATTTACACTATTACTTATCTCTTACAACCCATCAGATTATTTTCAGAAATCTAAATATCTCAAAAGTTAAATAAAACCGAATCAAAATAAAAATTCAATTCAGGCACGAAATTAATATTTTTATTTTATTTACATCGTATCACTTAGTTTAAACCTATTTAGTTAATAAACTCAATTTGGTCAACGCATTTCCATTGCTATTCAGCGTGGAAATGCAGCAAGTATCCTAGGCACCCTACCAGCTGGCAGTGATCTCACAGAAATTTTTTATCTTTAAATATTTTTTTAAATTTTTAATTACTTTTTCTTGTTATTTGTAAATAAATATTTAGGATAATATTTCATTAATATAATGTACTTATACAACTTATATAAATTGACAAAATAATAAAATAACATATAGAAAAACTACCTATTCTTTATTCTTGTTTTTGTTTACAAATATATTGATTGCAGGTACATATATAAATTATACTATAACGTAAATATTAACGTCGCTTGCTAATTGATGCAATCAGCATTTATATCTGGGAAAACCCAGTTTATTTACAAAAAAAAATAATAATACGTAATTGCAATGCGAATGCATACATTTTGTCAACAAGTAAAACAAAGAGTTTTCACAAACGAAAATGAGAACAAGATATCTATAATCGTGACATTCATAAATGTATTAGTTAAAAGTGGTTAAGATATTAACTGAAACTAAAAATAGATAGATACCACAATATTTAATATGTAACCTACATCAAACATAGCATAATGACTTCATTATTGTGTAGGTACTGCAGCTAAAAATAGATCTGGGATTAATGATATCTGTGGCTAATTTACTATACGCAACAAGCGCCACGGTATTTTGTATTTAATTTTCTTTGTGTTTATGGCGCGGCATTATTATATTATGCATGTTATTACGCACAATGGATTACCTGTAATAATTTATAATCTAACGTTTGTATGATTTCATATACATAAACGGAGTTTTAGTTAACAAAACGAAGCAATTGTAAGCGTTGATTGAATTGATTTATCCAACGGGAACGTATTTCAGGACTTTTTTTTAATGGATGAAAATGAAATGGTAACCCCACATGCGCGGGGGGAAAGGGATTGTTAGTAATGGAGACTGAGAATCCCATTGCTAGCAATATACCCAACCAGGTCGACCTCCTCGCGGTTCCCCCTGGAAACTATCATGGTTAATTCCTGATGAGTTCATCATGATGGGCTAACTGGCCTGTTTTCATTCTCATCTATCAGCCTTCACTGGTGCTCCGCCAGCGTATCCCGTTAGCGCAGGCGGAGTTACCATACCATTTTCACCCATCAAAAAAAAAACCCACCTGCGCTATCAATACCTATACGCCGGCGGGGCACCAATGAGGGACGATAGGTGAGAATTTATTTATTTAATACTAAAATACACAGCTTGCAAAAACAACTTACATGCCAAGTCTCTTATAAATACAGTCAATATCGGATTTTAATTATACAAATAGGGGGGAAAAGGATTGTTAGCAATGGAGTTTGACAGCCCGATTGCTAGCAATATACCTTATTAGGTCGACCTCCACGTGGTTCCCCCTGGAAACCATCGTGAACAATTCTCGTTGAATTCGTCACGATGGGCTAACTGACCTACTTCATCCTCACCTATCATCCTTCACTGGTGCCCCGCCGGTGTATACCGATGACGCGGGTGGGGTTACCATTCCATTATCATCCATTAAAAAAAAATATACAAACGAAAAATATAATTCTAAAGTAGGCAAGTTAGAGTGGGTGAATGAAAGCAGGTCCGCTGGCCCATCATGACGATTTCATCAATAATTAGCCACGATGGTTTCCAGGAGGAACCGTGTGGAGGTAGACCTGATTGGTATATTGCTAGCAATGGGGCAGTTTGACTCCATTACTAACAATCCCTTTCCCCCCACTTCATGACGTCAAAACATTTTGTATAGTGTAAGAAATATATTCAAACATTTATAGTGCATTTTTTTTTATTCTAGTTGGAGCAATTAATTCATGTATTATTCTCAAACTAGTTCTGTTATGCAATTTTATAATATAGTGGAAATATAAAGGTAAAATGAAACATCTAAATTACTTCACTAAAGATTACATACGTATCTAAATTATCTTCTTTATCTATATTATTTATAATCATGTGGAACGTCTACAGAAGTCTCCCTGTCTATTCACATAATATTTTACTTGTATATTAATATTTAATGGCGAACTGCACGATCGAGCCCTGTGATCGATATCTGTCAGACAAGTTCCAATGAACCCAAATTCAATGGGCTTCCATTGTTTTATTTTACATTTTTTTTTTCACATCCACCGGTTTCAACTATAGATCAGTGCCATTTAATTGTTATTCTGCTTTAAATATAGTTTTGTTTTTAGTTATAAGACATATAAACGCTCATAAAAAGATATCACTATGCAAATAATAATTGAGAAATATTTATAGACAAATGTTTGAATATTTGAAGATGGTTTATCAATGTTACGTAAGCGATTCTTTTTCTGCAGGGAAAAACGTTACTACAATGGTTTATACATACTACGAAGTCAAACACATAAAGATAGCAAAGCACTATTTCTGAATATTCGCATATACTTACCAAAATATTAAGGTCTTACTTTTAAATCATTAAAGTATGGGTTACTCTTTGAGGCTTTTCTTGCTATGTTAAGGTATTAAGCACAAAAAGTACATTATGCAGGCTGTCAATTGACATTATCCAGCATTTTTTATGTAACTTAGAATGGCAAACAAGCTGACGGCCCATCTGATGGTAAGTGGTAACCGTCGCCTATAGACATGAGCAGTACCATGGACATAACAGAGTATACTGTTTCGATCATGATACCCTCCATTCGTTGTCATTTGTGAGGACCCAGGTGTTATTCCTCTGTACCCAGTAACTTTACATAGTCAGTAAAGTAACACAGTCATGCAAACACACTACTGTCACAGTAGAAACACGAATGGGATAGAGGTGCCCAAACAAACGACTTTTGTCTGGTGAATTTGACATATGAATTTCATTTTGACCAGTCATTATAATTATTGTGTGTTGCTAACCAATTTTTCGGCAAGTTCAAGTTACCAACCGAGCGAATAAATTACATAATATAAAGCCTTTGTAACAGAGTAAAAAAAGAATATAAAGGAATGATATAAAGAACACTCAGGATCGCCCGCGGTGAGGTGCCGAACTCAGGACGCATTAATTTTAGGCTATTTTGTTCTCAAATTCCCGTTTGATTCTTTTCGTCAGTTGCTTTACATAGATTATATTATTCATTAAAAAAAAAAAAAAACAAAATCTAGAAATTGCCAAGCAATAAGCTAATATTCATTAATAAAAGAATGATGAAATATAATAAAACATTATATCAAAAGGACTGATTGTGAAATAAAGTCATTTTTAGACTACAATAATTTATTTATAGAAAATACCTTTGTAGTAACTAGAAATTTGACTAGAAAGCCATGTTTTTTCTTTTTACAGAAATAAATACCATCATCAATGATCGTATTAATCACGATTGGTTTTCTCAGAGGGAGATTTTGTACAAAAGTCGTTTGTTTGGGTACCTATGTCCCATTCGTGTTTCTACCGTGAAGCAGTTGTGTTTGCATGGCAGTGTTACGGTTTGAAGGGTGGGATATGGCGTGAATTTACAGGGTACAGAGGAATAACACCTGAGTCCTCAGGAATGCCAACGCATAGGGGGTATCATGGGCGAAACAGTATACTCTGTTATGTCCATGGTACTGCTCATGTCTATAGGCGACGGTTACCACTTTCCATCAGGTGGGCCGTCAGCTTGGTTGCCATTCTAAGTTAAAATCATTTCATCATCATTTCATCAGCCGAACAAGGCATAGAAACATCGGAATAGGAAAAATATTTGCAAAGGAGTTGCAAACTTTTTAGTTATCTTAAACATTTTATTTTTATTGTATTTTTATACTTTTTTGTTTTGTACAATTGTCACTTTGCACTTTATCGTTGTCGCAGTCTGTCTTCCGTAGTTTTTTTTATTAAAATAACAATATTTTCCTTTGAACCAATTGTTTAATTACATCTAACTCATTAATATACAGTCCATAATGTCGTTCACATTTTTGGTCCTACGAGATCGAGTTCGCAAAAAAACACATACTTGATTTGTAGAGTACGTCAGAGTTATTCTTTCGCAGGCTTGACCATTAGATTCATCAGTAACTTTCTATGCTACATCGTAAAACAATACAATATTTCTAATCGTGATTTAAATGACGTGACTTAGATATATACGTGTTTAAATATAGAGTTTTACTTATCTATGCCTAGATATAACTTCTCGGTATACAGTAGCATAATCCTTAGATATAATGTTTAAGCTTGTTGAAATAAATAATTGAGCAAAATCGTCGAGAAGTTTGCCTTAGTTTCTATCTTACTTGGGCCTGTTCCACTGGATGGAACGTGTGAAAGATGATATGGCCAGAATGGGGCTAATTGCGGAAATGACTGCAAATATAAAAGAGTGGAAGAGAAAAACATATCACGATGAGTTCGAAAAATTATTGGGATAAGGGTAGGAATATGGTGATCTATTCTAGAGGCGGCCAATCGGTCGATCGCGACTATTTTTTTAAAGGATGATAATGGAATGGTAACCCCAC